TTAAATTTTAACTGGTTTTTGCCAGTTGGCTTAAATCTTTACCAGAATTAATTTTTTTGGCTTAAATACTAACCAGTTGACACAAGTTTGACTTGAATGTTAACCAGTCGACACCAGTTAGCTCAACCGTTAACCAGTTGCTACCAGTTTGGCTAAAATGTTAATCGGTCGCTACCAGTTTAGCTTAACCGTTAACCAGTCGTCACCAGTTTAGCTTAACCGTTAACCAGTTGCCACCAGTTTGGCTAAAATGTTAACCAGTCGTCACCAGTTGGCTTAACCGTTAACCAGTCGTTACCAGTTTGGCTAAAATATTAATCGGTCGCTACCAGTTGGCTTAACCGTTAACTACTTGCTACCAGTTTGGCTAAAGTGTTAATCGGTCGTCCCCAGTTGGCTTAATTGTTAACCAGTCGTCACCAGTTTAGCTTAACCGTTAACCAGTTGCCACCAGTTTGGCTAAAATGTTAACCAGTCGTCACCAGTTGGCTTAACCGTTAACCAGTCGTTACCAGTTTGGCTAAAATGTTAATCGGTCGCTACCAGTTTGGCTTAACCGTTAACTAGTTGCTACCAGTTTGGCTAAAATGTTAATCGGTCGCTACCAGTTTGGCTTAACCGTTAACCAGTTGCTACCAGTTTGGCTAAAATGTTAATCGGTCGCTACCAGTTTGGCTTAACCGTTAACCAGTCGTTACCAGTTTGGGTAAAATGTTAACCAATCGTCACCAGTTTGGCTAAAATGTTAACCAGTCGTCACCAGTTGGCTTAACCGTTAACCAGTCGTTACCAGTTTGGGTAAAATGTTAACCAGTCCACACCAGTTGGCTTAACCGTTAACTACTTGCTACCAGTTTGGCTAAAGTGTTAATCGGTCGTCCCCAGTTGGCTTAATTGTTAACCAGTCGTCACCAGTTTAGCTTAACCGTTAACCAGTTTCCACCAGTTTGGCTAAAATGTTAACCAGTCCTCACCAGTTGGCTTAACCGTTAACTACTTGCTACCAGTTTGGCTAAAGTGTTAATCGGTCATCACCAGTTGGCTTAACTGTTAACCAGTCG